AATTGCAGCTGTGGAAACACGTCTGCAGAAATTAGAAGACAAGATAGAGGAGAATCATAAAAGACTCAGGGAGGAGATTAAAGAGGACCTTCTCCAAATCTCAGCAGTACAAATTAGAGGCCCTGGTATCCAACGCAGACGTTCCCCTGATGGGGAGAGGAGGTACACCCCACGAGCTGAGCTGTGGTTCTTCCTACGTGATTGCGGAGAAAACATGAGGAGATGGGATGGAAAGTCTGCTGCTGCTCTGGCACAACGGGTGCGTGAATTGAAGGAAGGCAAGACCCAAAGAGAAAGTTCCACCAAAAGGAGAGCAGCTCCAGTTGCCCGTAGCCAAGCTGCCAAGTATGATGATGATGATGATGATGATGATATGTCCGATCCCCTTGAAGGAACCTCTAAGACATATGCCCAAAGAAAGAAGGATAAACAGGCTTAGAGGGGCCCTGCCTCTAGCCAGGGAGAGGCGAGGGAAAATCGTGTCTTCTGGACTGTGTGGATTCGTTGGCCTGGCATATCAGAACCACAAAAGTATAAAGCTTTGGTTGATACTGGTGCACAATGCACATTAGGCCTTCAAGATATGTGGGGGCAGAATCTGTCTCTATTGCTGGTGTGACAGGTGGACCACAGGACTTCACCTTGGTGGAAGCTGATGTGAGCTTGACTGGACATGAATGGAAAAAACATCCTATTGTGACTGGCCCAGAGGCCCCATGCATTTTGGGCATAGATTACCTCCAAAGGGGGTATTTTAAAGACCCAAAAGGATTCAGGTGGACATTTGGGATAGCAGCTGTGGTGACAGAGGGCATCCAGCAATTGAACACCTTGCCTGGACTGTCTGAGAATCCAACTACAGTAGGACTTCTGAAGGGAGAAGAGCAAAAGGTACCAATTGCCACTTCCACAGTGCATTGCCAACAATACAGAACAACTCGAGATGCTGTGATTCCCATCCACAAGATGATTTGAGAGCTGGAGAGCCAAGGGGTGGTCAGCAAAACCCACTCACCCTTCAACAGCCCCATCTGGCCTGTGCGGAAATCTGAAGGAGAATGGAGATTAACCGTGGACTATCGTGCATTGAATGAAGTGACTCCACCACTGAGTGCTGCTGTGCCGGACATGCTGGAACTGCAGTACGAGCTGGAGTCCAAGGCAGCAAAGTGGTACGCCACTATCGATATTGCCAATGCATTTTTCTCCATTCCTCTGGCAGCAGAATGCAGGCCTCAGTTTGCTTTCACATGGAGGGGAGTGCAGTACACCTGGAATCGACTGCCCCAGGGGTGGAAGCACAGTCCTAC